TTTATTTCCGTGCGCTAATTCCCGTCAACGGGCCTCGGCGGTCTATGACATGACTTGCTATATCTTGAATTTCAGTCGCCTTGTAAAACGAAATTCCCAGATGTATTGACAAGAATAGAGACCTTGAAAGTGTGGCTAAATTCTACAATAGGTTTGGAGTCTGCAGACCACATTTTACTGGAGCTAATTGGACATAAGCGTCCATGTTTTGCTCGAGTATATTTCTGTGCGCTATTTCCCGTATGGCTGGCTATCACCAGGCGTCGGCGGTCTATGACATGACTTGCTATATCTTGAGTTTGAGTCCACTTGTCAAACGAACATCCCAGATTTTTTTGACATAGATAGAGGGCTGGATTTTGTGGCTACATTCTACAACTAGTTTGGAGTCTGCAGACCATATTTAACTAGAGATATTTTACATAAGCGTCCGTGTTTTGCTCGAGTTTATTTCTGTGCGCTATTTCCTGTATGACTGGCTCAGTCAGCGGGCCTCGGCGGCTGACACGACTTGGTATATCTTGAATGTCAGTCGCCTTGTCAAACGAAATTCCCAGATTTTTGACATTGATAGAGACCTGGACAGTGGGACTACATTCTGCAACAAGTTTGGAGTCTGCAGACCAAAGTTTACAGGAAACCATTGGATGTTTTGCTGGAGTTTGTTGATGTGCGCTATTTACCGTGTGACTGGCTGTCATTAAGCCTCGGCGGCATATGACATGACTTGCTATATCTTGACTTTCAGTCGCCTTGTAAAACGAAATTCCCTGATTTTTTGACATGAATAGAGGCCTTGATAGTGCGGCAACATTCTACAACAAAGTTGGAGTCTGCAGGCCAAATTAAGCTGGAGATAATTTAACATAAGTGTCCATGTTTTGCTCGACTTTATTTGTGTGCACTATTTCCCGTATGACATGGCTGTCAGCGGGCCTCGGCGGTCTATGACATGACTTGCTATATCTCGAGTTCGAGTCCTCTTGTCGAACAAAATTCCCAGATTTTTTGGCATTGATGGAGACCTAGATGGTGTGGCTACATTCTACGACAAGTTTGGCATCTGCAGACTAAAATCAACAGGAAATAATGGGACACAATTGACCATGTTTTGCTGGAGTTTATTTCCGTGCGCTAATTCCCGTATGACTGGCTGTCAGCGGCTCTCGGCGGTGTATGGCATGACTTGCAATATCTTGAGTTTGAGTCCCCTTGACAAACGAATTCCCAGATTTTTTGACATGGATGGAAACCTGGATGGTGTGGCTACATTCTTCAATAAGTCTGCATACTACAGTCCATACTACGTTCTAGCGGACGACAAGCGGACATGCATGTAAATACATTTCTCTTGCGCGCGGAGCATAAAATAAGATCGAACGTTTTCGACTTTTCCATTTCTGCTTTCCTGCCACCTGAAAAGCAGATTTTATTCAGGTACATTGCCGAAAAGAGGCCGCCTCCTTTTCACCTTTCAGAGAGGCAGAAAAGCCGATCGAGACAGCGACGCATGTCCGTGTGCGCGTTTTAAATAAGCGAATGTATGGAGGACGAAAACGTGAACACTCTACTTTTCGGTTTTCAGAATAGCAGAAAAGCAGACTGAACGTTTTCAAAGGTTCCCTTTGTCTGCTTTTCTGCCTATCTTCCACCAGAAAAGCGGAACAGAATCCTATTTCTGTGATTAACTACTGGACAAGACATTACACTCGAGTCGGCAAACAATTACAATTTGTGGAAACATCTTTTTTTTCCTTCTAACTCTACCATTGTGGATCACGACACATATTTTGTTGTTTTATTCCCCCTCCAATGTGTAGCGATAACAATCATGTACGAAATAATCTACAACGTGTTTAGTTTAAACATGTTAGACTTTCTTCCCTCAGAAAAGCTGTTTTGACAAGGAGAAAACAACCGACAAATAAAAATCACATGACGGGTTATCTCAATCACGGTGGATGAACACACAGAAGGCAACAGAACGTAGTCTAAAATTAGCTAAATACTTTTTTTTTCTACTAATGTCTACAAAGTAACCAATTACATCAAATACCGTAACACTTGAGACTTTTAGATAACTACATGCACCAGAATCTTTGAAGGAAGGTGGAGATATCCACTGGCACTCACAGCGTCTCAAAAAATTAGACTGAGATACCAACATTTAGCTTCCCCCCCCCAAAAAAAATCATTCGGTGCAACTACAGGAAATATTCCGCCAAACATAATTATACCATTAACAATTATGATACAGTCTTGGATTATGTATACCCCTCTTTTCAATCTGTTTTACAGTAAAAAATAACTAACATCATCAAATAATCAATATCAGGCTAGCAAAAATAAGTTCTTTTTAAAGTCCGTTACGGAAAAAACAACAAAAGATATGACTTCAGAATATTTTTAAAACATTCATTTCTAACACACCAAGAATAGAAAGAAAATGCGCGGCTTTGGAATTTAGTTTAAGTATGTGAAAAATGTCATTAACAATTTAAAGCAATAAACAAACGAGACAAAATCAAGACGAAATGACTATATATTTTGGGTCATCCTGCATGATAATATACAACAAAGTTCCAAAAAAAGGTGGGAGGGGTATGGAAAAAATGTTCTTTCTTTTTTTACAAAAACTCCATTGCCCATCTTTCCCAACCAATTTCCGATCATAGCAAGATTTTTTTTTTTTTTTTTTTAAATTTTCCACATTAATTTCTAAAACTTTTCCTTCTCAACTATAAAATGAATGTATAATGTATAAAAAAAGTTGACAACAAATTTCTACAAATGAGGGATCCACAAAAAAAAGCTGCAAGAATGACATTTGAGGTTGCTGTGTAGTTAAGGTCCGGCAAATATTTCCTGGGTATCGCTGCAAAAAAACACTGGCAAAAATTGTACCAAACTTTGACTGCAAAGCTACCCCAAAGGTTTTGCCTGAATGGCACATCCCGACTACAATCAAGAAAACTGACAAAAACTGCATTTACATTTCTAAAAAAATACCTCTTTAAAGAGAAAACATCTCAGTAGTAACAAAACCTCTCTGGACCCAAAAGCCCCGTCTTGCAAAACAAAACAAAAACACAAAATTAATCCGGAAAAACAATGCCTTGCCGATTTGAATACGAACCAGTTCTATTTCTTTGAAAGAGAAAAACATTACGTCATTTCTATTCTAATCCTTTGGCAGTTTGTCCTTATATTTGTCAGGAGCAGGTTGTTTTCCCCCAGGAATTCAACCACAGGTTTTCTCTGCACATTGGTACAAAAATATATGGCCTACAATGATTGCCGTGAATGATTTGGCACACTGCCGATTCAATTCGTAGGCAGAATAGCGCTTGTGTCTACTCCGTGCACTGAAGAACTCACAAATACCCTCTTATTTTAGATTGAAATACTCTAAATACACAACCAACTTTAATAGCGGAAAACTGCGTTTCAATCTAAATCCTTGTTCTCTTTGGAAATAAGAAAGTAAGCAAATAGTTTCCGTTTCTGACACCATTTCGTTGTTTTAGTCGAGTCCCTTACATGTCCATCAGTAGTCCTCCAGCCAAGTCACAAATAAACTATGACAAAGGCCTGTTGTAATATTGTTTAGCATTTGCTACCATGGGCGTCGTCGGGATTTTTTTCTAGAGGGGGGCAAAACATATTTTCCCCCAAAAGTTCCTGTATTTCTCAACAAATTCTCAATTTATCACTTTTTAGAGGGGGACAGGGACATTTTGCCCCTCCCCCAAACTCATTAAATTTACACCACTATGACTTCGCGCCTCCTTTTCTTTCCTTCTTTTCCTGGTTTTTTTGGCCCTCTTTTTTTTTTTGGGGGGGGGGGGGTTGCTTTTCCGCGGGGGAGAGGGGGGGGGGGGGGCAAGTGCCCCCTTCCCCCCCCCCCGCAACGCCCATGTTTGCTACTTGTGTGACTGGACTTGTAACTTGACTTGTAATTTAGTTTTGATGTGATCATGGTCTCGTGATGGTCTTGTGATGGTCCTGTGAGGGTCTCGTGAGGAACTTTCGATGGTTTTGTGATGGTCTTGCGATGGTCTTACGATGGCCTTGTAATGGTCTTGTGATGGCCTTGTAATGGCCTTGTGATAGTCTTGAGAGGTTCTGGTGATGGCCTTGTGATAGTCCTGTGAGGTTCTTGTGATGGCCTTGTGATGGCCTTGTAAGGTTCTTGTGATGGCCTTGTGATAGTCTTGTGAGGTTCTTGTGATGGCCTTGTGATGGTCTTTGATAGTCTTGTGAGGTTCTTGTGATGGCCTTGTGATGGCCTTGTAAGGTTCTTGTGATGGCCTTGTGATAGTCTTGTGAGGTTCTTGTGATGGCCTTGTGATGGCCTTGTAATGGCCTTGTGATGGCCTTGTAATGGCCTTGTGATAGTCTTGAGAGGTTCTGGTGATGGCCTTCTGATAGTCTTGTGAGGTTCTTGTGATGACCTAGTGATGCCTCATGATGGCCTTGTGAGATTCTTGTGATGGCCTCGTGATGGCCTTGTAAGGTTCTTGTGATGGCCTTGTGATGGCCTTGTAAGGTTCTTGTGATGGCCTTGTGATAGTCTTGTGAGGTTCTTGTGATGGCCTTGTGATGGTCTTTTGATAGTCTTGAGAGGTTCTTGTGATGGCCTTGTGATGGCCTTGTAAGGTTCTTGTGATGGCCTTGTGATAGTCTTGTGAGGTTCTTGTGATGGCCTTGTGATGGTCTTTTGATAGTCTTGTGAGGTTCTTGTGATGGCCTTGTGATGGACTCAGCTACATCTGAACCAATTCTATAATTTCAGTAATATTCGATTTCTAAGATTTGGAGAGACTTTTCCCAAGTATCCTTTATCCACTGGATTTTTCCCATAGATACAGATAAAAACTTATGGCCTTTCCATACCTTTTCCACGCTTATCCCGACACTTCCATTGCTTTTCTGTGACCGTGATGGCTTTTCCGTGATGCCCGACTGCCCATATTAAATACCCAGGACACTTCCTTGTGTATTTTTGTCACATTAAGTACATTGTTTCAACCCTTCCACCAAACCTTTCCCAAACAAAACTCTTCCGTCACACTTTATCCACGATAGCAGACAAATGCTCAAAAGAAAATCAACACAAACTACAATCTAAAACAAGTGGGAGGCACTAGACAATTAACAACTTAACAAATCTGAAATTAACTCCATCCGGTGGCCCAGAATTAACTACCATTAGTCTTTGGAGAAAAAAAAGAAGGTAAAATTAATTACTAATTTAAGATTTTACTCCGAGTATGCAGCAAAAACTTGCAAGAGCTGAAACAAAAGAGTATTAACACAAAAAGGTATTACTGAGCACAACGCATCACGGGCCGACTTCACAACAAAGGAATAGCAAACGGCAAAATTCTGTGTAATATTCAATTGAATTACTGATGCAAATATTTACAACTTGTTAAACTGCAATTCATTCAACTTATTAAAAAAAGTCAAAAAAAAAAAAAAAAGTCAAACAGTGCCGTCGAGGTAAGAAGAAAATAAAAATTGCATTATTAATGTTAGTATTTATTTCATTTTTGGGGGGGATCTGGATCCTGAGAATGACTGCAGCGATATTTTCCCCTCACATGCACGAATTTACTTTTTGTGAAGAGAAATAATCAAGTATGCAAATGAAATTTAGCTATGCCAAGCACAAAAAGTATATCATACTTCGTGCTTTCAAAGATTTCGTACAATGGAAACAAATTCAGTCTGAATAATAATACAGTCGACTCTCTTGTTCATACAAACTCATCCGGACTAAGCTAAAATGTTTGTTATATCAGAATTTTGTATTAAGCGGAGTGCCTGTCCATGTTTGCTATAACCAGAAATTGTATTAAAAGTGTTTACATTAACGAGAGTCGACTGTAATAATCTAACATATCAATAACTGAGTAGATTTCAAAGCACTCAACTCCTCTAAGAAATTTTAATTTCCAAATTTCAGACTGTATCTCTGGCAGGCATACTTTTGATCATTTTCAATTTTGCCTTTGACAAACTGCATGTGAATTCAGAACGCAAGCAGGCCGACAGCAATGACGGGAAAAAAAGCCCCTTCCCACAATGCATTGTGCTCCGGCTTTACTCATTGCAGATTATTACTTTAAAGTGGAAACAAAAAATACATAAAAAGAAAAGAAATGAATCTACAAAACCAAAGTATTTCCTTTTAAGAAAACCAAAAACGATCACTTATTCTTCAGTTCTGCTCTGATGCGCTTGGTCGCCCGTCCGCAACACAAGCCACCAAAGAAGAGAACGCCTATTATGACCAGCAGCACCGTGAGAAAGTAACCCCTGGCTTCTGAAGCATTGACCATGGCCGCGAGATCACTCAGCGAACCCGGTGGCGATTCCTGGAGTGAGGGGGTGGGGAGGGGTTAGGGGGAAACAAAGATGACGGTGAAAGAGTCAAGTCAATTGTTGGCGAGTATTAGTCCAAGTCTGGAGTTGTTTTTGATCCCCATCATATAGCCAGTGCCCAACATGACGAATGGAATCACGTCTTGGGAACTTCCGCAGGACCACCCAGGAAATAACGAGCATAACTCAAGCGCACTGTATTCAAAGCTAATTCATGTGTGTGAGGTTCACTCGAAATTTCCTGGGCAGCACTGCCAAAGTTCCCAAGACTGGAAGTAACTGATTCTGTGGAAATAGTTGGGCAGATAGAGGAAAGATTTGAAGAGATTGTTCACTTTTGGGATTTTTGACGGATTTTAAAAATACAAATTCTGGGCTATAAAACTTCTTAACTTGTATGAATACATTTACGTCAGGGGCACTTTGTCTGGTCAACTTTACAAAACAGCTCACATTTTTTTTATTTTCTATTTGGTAAAATGCTTTTTGGATTTTTCGATGGTTGATCGAATGTTTGAATATATTCGGTTTTTTTTTACAGCACTGCCCTAGATCAAGCCAGAAATTGTTGGAGGCAAGGCAGATAGGAGTTGCTTACTTTGACTGCGTAACTCCACGTTTCCTTTCGCTCGGCCAGCATTCGTCGGCAGTCGGGATGCAGCTTGATGGTGGTATCCTCTAACGCTTCCAGTATACACGACATCTCTGCTCCCGAGAAAAACAAACCCACACACATACAAAATAAACAGAAAAATGAATTATTTTGGAGAATCTTGCCTGACAATCCGAGATGCAGCAGCACAGAATGTTGACTCAAGCATTTTCGTGGACAAAAGTGTTTCAATTTATCAATACTACAAACCCCAATGGACCATTTGTGACCGGCTCCACAAAAAGGCTATTAAGTCGCACTGTGCGTTATTGTGTACTGGCCCGCTCAACATTGAGAGGGTGAAAATGTTGTCAAAATGTGATTTTCTTTTTTTGTCATGAATGACATCTTTAATACCTACAGTTTCAGGTTTCATTCACAGAAATTTTAATTTTGATGAACAAAGTGGAGGAAACAACATTTTTATGTGCATCGTTCTGTTGTTCAACAACAAAGCCAGCTATTTTAAGGCCTGTTTTCTCAGTTGTGCAATTTGAACTCTTAAGGAAGTAATTAATATGCAAATATGTCATATCTCCAGAACGGGAGGGGCTATGGAGCTCTCTACTATATATCAAATGAAAGCTTACATTGTGGGCTTTCCACACATGTATATAACTCAATTTCACATTTGTGCGACATAATACCCTTTTTTGTGGAGCCGGTCACATTTGTATATGTGGGTCTATCTATGAATTTGGGGTCCACTTTCTTGCTGTCCCTGTTACATCTGACATCTAAGATTTTATAATTTTGGGTGCACTCCTTTATGCAGTCGTCCTTTAAGAGTGATTATGAATAGCAAACTACCTACCCAACAAATAACATAACTTGTTTGAAGTCAGTTTTAATGATCCTTAAATGGCAAATTACAAAGTACCAAGGTAACAGGGACAAGGAGAAGTCGCACTTTAGACCCTAAATTTGTAGAATGATCCGTATTCAAGTTCACTGATTTCATGAAAACGAGGAAAAGAAGGATCAAAAATAGATGAAATTTTGGGGTTTTGACTTTTTGGTTTTTACGCCAATGTGAATTTGCATATTCATGAGCAAAACTGTGATATCATTCCAGGCAGAAACCGCATTGTTTCAGCTATTTCAGCACAAAACGTTGCTAAAATTTTGGATATTTTGCTGGCATAAATTTCCTTTTCTTTCGTGATTCATTGTTGTGTAAGTACATGACAGTAAGCCAATGACCAACCCTCTCTCACAAATGTTTTCAATGAGCAAATTTTGGGTTCACAATTTGAACAGAAAACTCCTAAAACTGAACAGTGTCTTCCTGAAAAGACATCACAGTAATAGCACCCTCAGTTGTCAGGAAAAGCATGAATTGTTTTAAATTAACCAAAAAGGGATGTCAGATAGTTTTCATAGATTTAAGAGGAGCAGAAAAGTTGCACAAAATGTGTTCCTTAGAAAACGTCATCACATGGACCCTTTAAAGAACCTTTTGAAAAGCAATTTGTTTGACTGCAACGATTACTAGGGATCCAAGAGTTCCGTTTCTGCAGACCCAAATTTTGTGCAGAAATTACATGACAACAGCAAAGTTCCAAGGTATAGTTGTGTAAACGATCATTTTCTACTTTCAAAAATTTAACAATATTCCCAACTACTTCGTGGTACATGTGGTTTCATATTTCATGGTTACATACTCATACACACCAACCATCTTCGTAAACACCAGCAATCGTGGACCCCCTATTCTCCCTAATCCTCATTCCTTTGTTTGTACTCTAACTTTTTAACAACAGCTCTCATTATCGTGGACGTGTTGTTTGTGCCTTAACCCTTTTGTCCTAGGTCCACGATTGCCAGTACTCACAGAAGGAATACGCGATGGCAATATCCCCCTGTCTGACTTAAAAGTCAGAAGGATAAAAATGTACTTACGCCGGCCTTCCCCTTGCGGTATGCCGACACAGAAGTGCTTAATGTCCAAGGCACAGGCTTTGTACAGGAGTGTATCTACGTGGATGTCAGCGCGGCCTTCTTGCAGCAGCCGAATTACTTGCTGGATGATTGGAAAGAAATAAGAAAGTCGTTCAGGTCGTGTGACGGGGAGAGCGACTTTAAGGTAGAGTAGATCATTTGTGCGTTTTTTTTTTCATTTGAAGCAACAAACGTGCTCAAAATCTAAAGACAGGTGCTTAACAACCAACCTGATGAAGTTTTAGCAATATTTTAGGATCTCTGTTTCAATTCAAAAGTTGCCGCAGCATGTTTTGAATTGCGCCCAAAAATCATTGTCCGGGACACGTTCTCATTCAGCTGAATGCAGCTACGCGATGTCACGCACTAAATTGAAAAATAATAGCAACTGCCCGCACGTGTGCCTCTTGTCAACGCTTGCGCGTGCATCCATTCACGGATTCGCTGAATTACACACCAGCCACTAACGGAAATTTCCAAAAGTGCGTCATTTGACGAATTGTCGGAAATGGCCTTCTCGTATTGCTTTCTTCAAAATGATAGCATGCCAGAAAGAATAATTTCACAGGGAGTTTAGTGCCATTACTATCAATAAACTAATAACAATAATTTCACCAGTTAGTTTTTGGATAGCTGCAAACGATATACTCTACTTTTGAAGCTGAAGGACTATTGGCTAAAACCCTGTTAGACACAACAATTGCAAGATGACAAGCCTGCTCAGTGTAGCAAGATCCATCAGGTCAAAAGTCTCCAGGCCCAAACTGCCTCAGAGTCTGTGGTCACCAACTGCAGCAGGATACAACCATGGCATTGTTCAATGGGACTAGCTCCCTTTGTCTCAGAATGAGCCGTTTATGCACTGGTATTGATGGCTCAATGCAGCAAGGTCCCAAAGACTATTCCACCTGATGTACTCTGTTACGTCTGGTAGGGTTAAAGTTGAGGCTTTCCTCACCATGTCGGGGAGTAGTGTGGCCTAGTGGTTAGGGTTTGAGACTAAGGATCAGAGGGTCGAGGTTTCGAGTCCAGCTGCTGGCCATATGTCGTGTCCTTGGGCAAGCCACTTCACCCCCACTTGCCTCTCTCCACCCAGGAGTATGAATGGCTACCGGCATTAGCTGAGGAGTAACCTGCAGTGGACTGTTACCACCCATCCAGTTGGAATAGAAATATCCTCAGTCGTTTCATGCCTAGGAACCCGCAGATAATCCGCGGCCTGATGGGCCATATTTGCTTGTGACAGACTTAATTTATTTATTTTTATTTTTTAAACTTTTGCTTACCATTCGGCACTTGATGTCGTGAACCTTTCCCTCGTGCAGTTTACTCTTGAGGCATTCCTCCACCTGTCCTTGGCCTGGGGATTCCATCTGCTCACCGCATAGCTTCCTGGCGGTATCCTTGCAGACGCGGTACAGGATCGGGTCCATTCTAATGTCCAGCGATGCCTCTTGAATGGTCTAGACAAAGAGGTCAGACTTCTTTCAAACGTCATGATCTACTGTTACAGTTCTATCTCAAGGCACACTCACTGACAGTGCTGTAGTCAGGTATTTTGCCATGAGTACTAGTGTGAGTACTTTGTCCTGAGTACCGGCATGTGTACAAGGCATTTTTTCCCCATGAGTGAAAGTACGAGTACAAAAAAATGTACTCGAGTACGAATACGAGTATGAGTACAAATACGAGTACTTTCAACAAGCAGGAGCAAATTTCAATACGTGACATGTTTTCAAGAGCTGTTGGCAGTCAAACTAGGCATTACACAAATGTTAAAGCCCCCCAAACAGTAGAAAACTGGTTCTTTTCCTGCATGTAGCTCTGAAAAAAATTGTTGAATTCTTGCGGAGAAAACATTTGCTCGAGTGCGAGAACCAGTACTTTGTCAGAAGTACGGGTACGAATACTACAATACTTCGATACTTTGATGAATTTCAAACGATGTCACGACCAGTATTCATTATTTGGTGAACAACCTTGTTAATGACAAAAAGACTTTTCAAAAACCCAGAGCAGTTTTGGAGTCTCAACCCGCAAAATATATATTTTGGGTTTTTAAATTGCTTATTCTTCTAGCAATACCAAAGTTATTCACTTTTGAATGAGTCATCGAACAAAAAAAAAAAAATCCACCCACGTTCAGTGATGCAATAGTCACTTCACAAATTTCCACTGAATTGCTGCCAGATAATAACTCGGGCGTGTCTTTTGTGCAACACAAAATAGAAGCGTATTTTCAGAGATTTCAAATTGTTCAACAGAAAAACACATTTTTGTATAAATAAACACATAACAAATTAAAAGTTTGTCAGTAGGAAAACAATTGTATATGTTACAAAAAAATATTGAAGAGCATCGGTCAAGCAAATATCCAGATAAAAAACAACACATGACAAATGTCTAAGAGACAATGATACACAAATATTATAGAAAACTCTAAAATTCCTAGAAGTATCCTCAAAAGCTTCGTAAAAGCAAGAAGTCAAAGTCGATTTTTTTTACTTACATCTTTGACGTAATTCTCACAGTCTGGAGACAGTTGCTGTAGGAACAAAAATAAATAAATAAACTTGAGGTATTTTACAAAAATAAATAAATAAACTTGTGGTATTTTGACATCAGATTATGCGAGGACATGGCAGGAAGATGTAAAGTGACACTGGAACAAATCAGCGAAAAATTAAGTTGTCTACTTTACAATGAAATCAATCAAATCAATGAAATCTGCTCTGTTTACATATGAACTGAGGGGGGGAATAATTCAAATGTCAAATTTTTACATGGGACCAAATTATCGTTTGTTTTCCATTATTGTTACCAATATGAATGATTATAATTGAAAAATGCTTTATTTACCTAAAACCTTGCTTATTTTTGAGGCATAAACGTCTCTACTAGCATACTAAATTTCATAAAAATTGGTCACTGCATTACCCACCAGCTGAAATGTGCCCCCCCACCAACCCCCTGCTCTTTTAGGATTACATGATCTCTGAATTCTGCAGAGCTAAAGAAATATGAGTGTAAAGGATGCTTCATACTTCACACAAATTTGAATGCAGAGCGAAACTAGCATCAAGAAGCATTTTGCTGCAACATTCGCAGTAGTTGAAATGTGTTCACTGTTTGCAACTTCACAGCGCTAAAAATATTTGCCGTTAATCACAAATTTGGCATTCGCCTTTGCATTCACGCCAGTAATGAACAGGCTTTTACATCAGAATGATGGCAACAGTGACTGTAAAGTCCAACCTTGACAACAAATTTGGTCTTCAGGCATAGCAGCATTTCGCCTTCCATTGACTTTTCTTGGTATTCCTTCGTCTTGGACTTGTCAAGGATATCGTTGCAGAACTTGGGCATGTCTCGCCGGCAGGCCTTCTGCATTCGTGGGTTGAGGCGGAAATCCTCCTTCTTCTGGATGGAGCGCTTGGTCAGGACCGCTTTGCAGCTACACAAAAATAATAATATTTATAATTCTTTCATCCTCCTAGTCTTCTGTATTTCACAACCCTTCCAGTTTTGCAAAACCACATTGGCCGATCAAGAACAGCATCCTCACTTCACTTTCCCTCTGTGGAGTATGGATGACACTTCCATGTCCCTGCACACAATTCTTTTGTGTGGTAAATCTCAGGGCCAGCCTTGGTCAAGGCGTTCGTCGATGGTGTCCCTGATGGTAACTGGCCGCAAACATAAACACTAGCCACGCACTACTTGATGCACTGTACGAAGCGTGAACAGGGACCTCACACGGCTACAATATGCAAACAGACAGGGCACAACGAACACCTAAGGACAACGGCTTATCTCTTTCTTTATTTGTTACTGGATTTCCAGCGAGACCTCATACACCTGTATGTGCTACCGTAGGCGCATACAGATGAGATTATTATTCAGTAATTGGTCGTGGACGCTCATATTTTTACGTGGATAGAGGACTGGACAGTGTGGCTATATTCTCCAACATGTTTGGAGTCTGTAGACCACATATAACTGGATATAAATCTACAGAGATGAAACTGGCCTATAGATGGAAAAAAAACAATCAGAAAACAGGCTGCACAAAAATCTGTGTCCGAAATCTGGGCTGCACGCATGATGTACATACACATGTACAATAAACTTAGTGCCCAATTTCCGGACCTCGCCAAACAAGATTTTACGATGTGACAAATGTTCAATGTTTCCTCAATTAAAAAGTCTGAATAAAGGTAAGAGTAACTGACTCGTCAATAAGAAATTAGGTTATTTTTTTTACTTGAGAACGTCGAGGAAAATCCAAGCACGGAACAAAACAAGTGCACTGTTCAATCAAACAGCTTCACTAACATACATTTTCAACAGCCATCAATGAAATTTGTTTTTCATGATCTCTTCACCATGCCCAAGATCGTGATTGTTATTTTTAAAGCACTGCATTTTTTACAACTAAATCCAAATTCTCAAAAAATAATGCTACGTTTTGGATTTCACTGCAGTTGAACTCCACATGCAACATGAAGCTATGTGCATAGTTTCAGACAATGTGCGTAGTTTCTTACTTATGCGTGTCTACCATGTCTGTGTGCTGACGACAGGTAGAACAGATTAAAACTGCACTCGCAATACAGATGTGGCTGTGCCGTTTTTATCAAATTCGTTAAAATTCAACTTTCAAAATCTGACTTTGCGGGGGAAACGTCATCAGAAAAAAAAATCTGAATTTCGGATATAAATTTGAAAAACTTGGCAACTCGGAAATGTTTCATCTCTGGAACTAAAGTCTCTGGAACTACGTCTATTGCCAGCCTGTTCCCACGTGGTTGTAATGGACGAAGACCGAGACAAAAGCTTTAGTTGACGAGAGACACTTACTTGGGGTCGAAGGATGGCTCATTCTTGTGAGCCTTGAGGCATTTGAAGAGACTGTCCGGGGCTGTACCAGGGCAAAATTGCTGCAAGAAGGAAAGTTGAGCAATGTTTCAAATTAGTTAACCCTAACAGAACTCAACCCATCAAACCCCAACGGCATGTTTTGTTGGAATCTGTCAGGATGGGTACAGCACCCCTAAACTGACAGTCTTTTACATTGGATTGGTACACCTCCAGAATTTAAGTCAGACATATGTGTGTGCAGTTTCCCATATGGTGTTGGAATTTGCCAGGATGGGTATGGTTCCTAGTAAATCATGCTAGGGAGTTGGGGTTAAGAGTGGGATTTATAAGCACTATCACTCAGTGCTTTCAAAGGGCATGTGAGAAAGTAAAAATTGCAAGAGTTAAAACTTTGATGAGACTTTAACCAACCACCTCAAGCATTTTTAATATTTATTTGTGTTTAAGTCACAATATTTTGTAGGAGTATTTACCTATTTTTAGACAACTGTCAAAATTATTTGTTTTAATTGATGAAAGTCTACCTGGGGGAATTTCTTTTTTTTCTAATAGATTATAATTTTAATTATTTCTTATCACACAATCGTGGCCCACAAAATATAATATATATATTAAATGTAATTATTTTTGATCTGATTGCAAATTCTGAGGTTACTAATCCAGTTCAAAGATGTCAATGTTTTACAAACGACGGAACAGCAGTCAATTTCAAAGTTAGAGTCAGTCCCAAAAGGGCATAATGTTTACGGCTACAGCTTTTCACAGTGCGGTAGGGCGTCAATGTCTAAAACTGAAGCCGCAATCTTACGACTAGTGGACGTTGGATTATGAGGGCATATGAGCCTTCAATTAGCTCAGCTTCCTTGGCTAACCAGTCTGACTTTACCCGAGTTGAATCAGTGAAGCTACTGGAATGCAGCATACGTGTGTTAGGCCAAGTAGAAAAATAAACCACTTTCTCGTCCCCGCCCACTTCCCTTTTTTTTTTTTTTCTTGGTAATTCAAACATTTGCAATATATTTGCAAATCTATTGTCCAGATATTGTCTTTTTATTTGTTTCCAATAACATTGTTGCTATGTAAAGAGGCCGTCGGCCATCATGGCCCGCATTGTTCTACATGTTCTATGCATTGTTTTATGCGCGGAAGCCGACCGGGGCATATCACGTCCCTAGACCAACTGTACCGTAAATTTTGTACACAAGCTCAGATGAGTCGTTTATCCTTGTGTAGAGGATCCGTGATTTTATGGAGCTGCTAAAGACAGAAATTTTTGCCGAGCAAAAAATAAAAAAAGTTCATCTGCCAAAATGTCATGGGATGCATACATGCACAGGGAGGCAATTGTAGTAAATTGTCTTGCCCAAGAACACAAGCACCATATTCCCCGTTAGGGTTCGAACTCACGTACACCGTAACCACTGGACCACGGTGCTCCACACGTACCTTGATCATTCTCTGGCAGGAGTGCATGAATGCAAAGTCCGTCTTGACGTTCTGGGCCTGCTCCTTGACACGGTTGAAGAGTTTCAGGTGGCACTTTTCGCCCAGCTCTTTCCGGTGGTCTCGCAGACACTCCAAGATCCTGGCCTTGCCAGCCTTCAGGTTACTGCATAACTTCTTGACGTCGTCCTCGCAGCCTTGGAAGAGCTCGGGATCCAGCTTGATATCCTCGGACTGTTGGAGAATAAATACAATTTGGGGAGAAATGTATCACCCTTTTTAGAATGGCATTCCGAGAGTGGTGCCTAAACCATTAGGATAAGGAGAGTCTCAGGTCAGCCAAAGGACAGTTCCAAGCGTTATGGAAAGACCGCTACCGACTGACCAAATGTTTACCCTGTCAGACAAAATGACCGCTTTTCTGAAATGTAAATATACACACATTTGCATTAAAATCAACTACGAACCTTTCTCCATGCCTTATAAGCAATTACTCACAATAACACTCGCAAAATTTTCAGCCGAGGGTTGCAGATGCCCCAATTGAATAAAAACATTACAAATTTAATTTTTTTGAAGAGCACAGGGCACGCACCCTTAAAGCAAATCTGAAAAGACATCTTGAACTGCTTGAGTAAGTTCAAGTAGACAAACACACACACACACTCACAGTCGTTTTTTGCTATGCTTCCGAGGATTGGCTTTGTGTTTTCCTTTGTTCCCTGATCTAAACCTTTCCCATAGACTTAGTGCACAAACCCGGCGTTCGAGGACAATAGGCACCGTCGTTCGAGGATGAATGGCCCCTTTGTGCTCTTTTTTTTGTCTGTCCTCGAGCGTAATACAATACAGGAACACACACACCCGCTTACATAGGCATAGAAGTGGGGTACTTCCTTTGTTCTCGTGTTCTAACATTTTGCAACGTCGCACACTTATGTCAAAATGCTCTTATTTTAACCATAGTTAAATTCCTGGGCTGAAATTCGGACTTTATAATATCCCTTTTCTAAAACTCTTCCATTTGCGACAGATCAACCCACCTTGGAAATTCCTAGTTTTTGAGTAAAATCCATATATCTATTTCGTGAAAAACTTATGGGGTACCAAAACGGTACCCCGCAAGTCAGTGGGCATTCCTTGTTGGGTACCTCCCATTGTTCCGGTTCCCCACAAGCCAGTGGATGTACACGCACACCCACTCTCGAATTTGTATCCTTGTGGAGACATTTCTTTGTTCTCGTGTAGTACAGTTTTCGAGTTTGAAAGTGAAGTTTCAAAATGCTCTTCTTTTAACCAGAATCAATTTCCTTGGCTGAAATTTGGACTTAATATCCCTTTTTTTAAAACTCTTCCATTTGCGACAGATCAACCCACCTTGGAAATTCCTGGTTTTGAGTAAAATCCATATATCTATTTCGTGAAAATCTTGTGGAGACGTACTCATCTATAGAAATTTTCCTGTGGAGACGTATACAATCTTTTGTTCCCTATTGTGCACACGTCTCTAGAGGGCACGGTGTACCAGAACATACACACATACAAGAGTTCAAGCTGGGCCACATCTCCTTTGCTTGTTCAAATAATAACACAAATCCTCAGTGATGGGACTACCCTGACTTACCCTCTGAAGGAGTTCAGCCTTGAGCTGTTTGCGACATTCCTCGCTGATGTTCTGCGGATTGTCCTTCAGCGTATCATCCCGGACTTTGGAGCTCAGACAATTCACTATAGAACTCCTGCACAGAGATGTTAAAAAAAACACATAATAACCTCATGCTTTGTAAAGGGCCAATTCCAGTGCTATGGAAGAAAAGGTAATGTCCGTGACACAGCCAATTTAACCATGATATCAGAGAAATGATCCAAAACTCCTAGTGGGTAATCTCCTTGACCATTACTAGATGATGTATATAAGCTTTGACAAAAACATTTTCAGGCTTATTCACTGAGCTCTTAAAGAGAATATACAACATTTGCAAACATCGAAAAATAAAACTACCAAGTTTTTACGAAATACCTTACTAGGATGTTGGTAAATGACAGTCTAAAGTATCCTGTAACATTATGGCACCTGGTGTGAAGTCATTTTCAAGAAAATGGTATTTTTGTATACATTTCCAGCGGTGGTCGGCCGACCACCATTGGAAAAACCTAACCATTTTGCAACTACTGCTCAAAATTTACCATTTTTTATTCAGTTCAAATTTTGTTTGCTATTGGTTACATATTCATGAACGGGTGTAGGCCAGCTAGACTTGTTCCCTTACCTTGCAATTTTCCGGCATCTGGAAATTGATCCATTTTATCTTTAGTGGAGTCAGGGAACCAGACTACTTGAACAATTTTTGTTTTTCTTGGTTTTTCAAGCATTGTCGAACAAAAAACTTCAAACATGTCAGTGTAACAATATTTGATCTATTATACTAACCCCTCAAATAGTTCATTTCTGAAAATTACAGCAAAAAACAATGATGTACATTCCCTTTAAAGTACCAACAAATGTCTGATTTGTAACGTCCGTAACGCTTGAACTGCTGAAAGACTAATCTGGCCGCATGCGTTCTTTGTTTCACACGTGTGAATTTGAATACTTTTTGTCACGGCGAACTACGTGTGCACGTACCACCTCTGTGCGAGCTTAGTGTAACCTCGGTAATGACTTCTAGAGACTTGAATCATGATGACGCCATGCTTTGTTTACATGTGCGCTTTCGTATAGGAGCTTTGTGGCTCTTGTCCCCATCTGGGTCCCATAGGAAAGCGCTCATTAAAACAACACGTGACATCATTATACTTCAGGCCTACTGTGGTCGTTGGATACATGTAAGTGTATTCCGATTAAAGTTTGTATATCGGTCACTGGATTGGTATGTGCACAAAAATAAAATCACACCCAAAGAATGTTTGGAACAGTTTTGCGTACTTGTCCTTGGAAGTTTTGCAGAAAGCGATGACGTCCTTCCTACACGATTCCTTGAATTTGAAGTTGAAGCGGTAATCCTGTAGCTGGATCTGAAGAAAAAAAAGTGGACGGAGAAAAAGGACTTGAAATCAAGTGCGGTTTTTATTTACATCTTTTTTCTTTTTTCAATAACTATTCTTGTAATGTTTAAGGATGAAGTCAACTTAAAAAGTCTGAAAATTGGAGGAAAGGTCTGAAAGATGCATTTCTTTCTACACTGAGAGTGTTTTTTCTCTCAGAATCAAAAAGTCTGATTTTACACTTAAGTCCAGAAAAAAATCTCATGCGTGATCAGGGGGACCGTAAGGTCATGGCCAAATTCTGCTAAATGCACTTCAAAAATCTGTCAGATTTATCAAAAATCTGCCAAATTCCCATGAATTACTCGAAATACTCTATAAACACTTAGAATCACATGCAGATGTTGAAATATTGCCTTAATTAAGGTTCGAATTGCATTATAAACAATCTATAGTCATATAAAGGTGTTATGAAATTGCGTTAATTTCAGTCAAAACGACTGGTTGCATCACGACGAAATCCGATTCCCAGTGAACCCTCAGCACATAGACAAGGCAACCTGTCCAATTTTGCAAGGGTTTGTTTGAAAAGATTTAAGCTTTTTTTTAAAACAAATCTACCTTTTTTTCAAATTTGCTATGTTTTTTTTGGTCAAATAACCATTTATGCAGAATTCTGCCAGAAATCTGCCCAAAAAAATCCATTCTGTCAAATTTTCTGTCAAACTCGTTTTTTAACAAAAAATCTGTCAAATTTAGCCGAAAATCCGCTAAAACGGTCATCATGTGCGTGATGTTGAAGCAGAAAAACATGTTAATTTGTTAAAGCAAGGTGAAACAAAGATCTTTTTGCGTTGTTACTATAAGCTATGGTATCACATGAACCCTTAGTGGCCAAAGCTTACAAGTAAAGCCTCCATTTGCAACAGGCGTGCAACTGGGAAGTCACAAAAAAAGGGGAAATTCAAATCTTTCCCAGACTTTGTACAGTGTTTTTCTATTTTCAATGGCACACATTGGAAGTGAAAAAAGAGGAAATTAGCTGATCCGAGGAAAAGTTGCATGCCTGTTGCTACACCAACTGTACAGATAGCTCAAAGATCACAGCTATACTTTAAAGCACTTAAGGTGTAGGTTGGTTTGTTTTTGCATTCAAGAGGGGACGTTGAACAATGGATGACAATAAGGTCCAGTACTCCAGAAGGTTCACAATTGACGAACGTGTTCAAAACATTTGGGAGGTCTTCCTAAAAAGATTGAGTACAAACAAAAGAGGGACAATAGGGGTCCACGATTGAAGGCGATTACACACTTGCAAGTGTATATATGTGCCCTGTTCTATACCGTGTTATGGGGAATTTTTCACTTGTTAGGCAAATTAGGACCGAGTTATGGGGACTTTCTGCTGTCCCCACAGCATTTTCAGTCCAGACAGTGTTTTTGGTCCCCACAAATACCTCGTACAGACGAGTGTCTGTCCCCACAACTTCGGAACAAGACAGTGTACGTGTTCTACATAACCCCCGAGGACAGACACACAAAGGGAGAACAAAAGATCCTTTCAGTCCTCGGGCGTTGGGTCTTTTGTTGGAAACGGTCCTCGATCGTACGTTTACGTGCTTAGTCTATGGGAAAGTGTTAAAGTACAGGGACAAAGGGAAACACAATAGGTTGTCCTCAGGCGTATAGTAAAACACAACTGTGTGTGCATATGTCTGTGTTCACACGTTGATCGTTTACGAGTTGATCATACGGGAAGTGGGTGATGATGATCAACTGCGAAGTCTGCGACTTGGCTGCGAAGCCTGTGGGGAAGTTTTGAAAGTTGATGCCCACTTCCAAATGAATTAAGACCAAATTATCTTTAAAAAAGGCGGGGAAGCTGATTCAATGGCTTTTTTGTGACCAATATGAAACTATAAAACATTGGAAGATGCAAAAGCTGTGATCGTTCTTGTCCCAAGATGTTTAAATTAGTGAAAATTCTGTGCGGCTAAACCAAGACTTGTGAAATTCCTTGCAAAGAAATCGCGCAGCTTCAAAATTATTGCGTAAATCCTAAGAATGGCGTAAGTTATGCATTATTTCATGGAATCAGCTGTAGGCTACAGACTGTGCAAATAGCGCCGTTGATATTTGTGCTCACCAACTGAAAGTGTTCAATGCCAGCCTGGCATTTCTCGTTCATTTCGTCGTCGTTCTTGTGGTCGATCAAGCACTGAAGGGCTGCACCCTCGTCCACTTTCTTGCTCAAGAAATCCTGCAAAAAGCGCATCACCAAAAATACAAAGATGAAAACAACTACGAAAATATTGAATGCCTGTGTATAATAATGGAGTCTTATACAGCGCACGTATCTACCAACAATTAGGTACTCAAGGCGCTGGAAATTATGTCAATTATTAAAGAAAGGTAAATACAGTTTATGAGAAATATGAGACCTATTATGTAGCATCTTATAACGGTTTACAAGATGCTGCGGCGCATACTGCAGCCATTGCCAGTAACACCGCTGCAAACCCCTTCTCTTAGCGATAAGTGTTACTGGGTTCTTTAACGTGCATTACACAACACACGGGACCTACGGCTTTACGTCCCATCCGAAGGACGAATCAATAGTGGTAAAGTGCCTTGCTCAAGAGCACAAACACCATGTTCCCACGGTCAGGATTTGAACCCATGCACCATCCGGAGGACGAAGCAATAATGGTAAAGTGCCTTGCTCAAGAGCACAAGCACCATGTTCCCACGGTCAGGATTCGAATCCATGCACCACGGCACATGAGTCGAACACAGTAACCATTGGACCACAGCGCCCCACATTGGACCACAGCACCTCCAATCAGGCATGGTGTAACCTTAGTAATAGCTTCTAATAGTGGTTGGCCATAACAGTCTATGAAATCTGTAGGGGTAATGATCAAATACATCAAATATTCAAACATCAACTGAATATTTCGATGGTGCTCACATATGTGGACACAAGCGTCATCTGCTGTTCCTGCATGGATTCCGTAACGGCTTTTGTTTTAGGAGACTACCAAAACGTGACTTTACCTTGCAGAACTGTTTGATCATGGGAGCACAGGCCGCCATGAGTTTGCGGTTCATTTTGATGTCCTCGGCTTCCTCTTCGGTGAAGCCACCAATCTTGCTCTTGCAATCGTCGCTCAGTTCCTTATGATGTTCTTGAAGGCACGACAGCTCCTGAACAAAGGCAAAAGGGAAACAAAAATTAGCTCTCAGCAATTTAGCAAGGTTGAAGACAGACCTCCGAATTTCTCACGGATGTTAGAGTCTGTGACTGGCCAGCATGTCGTTGGCCAATTGACCTGGGACGTGTAGGTCAACGTATTTCAAATATCCATGCACTTCCGAATGAGGAAATGCACGCCACAAGCACCTGCGTTGAGCTGGAAGAGAAAGCCAATCGCATTGCAGGTTAGACGGTGTAGTCATCGCAACCAATCAGATTTTAGAATCAATTGGGACTTTGCTAATCCCAATAGACACACATGTGATATATCAGGTCATGTCTCCAACCCATTATTCCTGGACGAGAGACAGAGGCAAAAGGCCTTCAATGCCCTGTGACCAAGTTCACGGAGTCTGCAATTATGACCCCAAAAGGTGCCGAGCAAATTAATGAATGAAAGAGACATCAATTGGGACCCAATGACTGGCACCTGTTTTTGCTAAGAAAATGTATTATGCACTTGGTACATGAATGTGCTAAACATCTCCATGAATTAGGGCTTGGTGTCAGTTGGTCTTGGTGTTTGAACTCATCTGTTTTTAACGCAAGACTTTCATTCCCCCCAAAAAGTAACAACAATCGATTCCTGGACAGATGGGGAAATTGTGAATACTATAAAATCCTTACCTCTCCCTTGCCCGTTTTGTCTGCACAGTACTGTCCGATGTCTGAGCGGCAGTTGGCCTCGATCTGTGGGTTCAGGTGGACGCTGACGGCTCGCTGCCGTAGTAGGCGATGGACCTGCGCCTGGCAGCCTGGTTGAAGAGTCTGTGACACGAACGCACTAAATTATTCCGTGTTCCACTCGCACTCGTGGGATAACTAATGCTGTTATATCGTGTGCTTGAATAATGTAATTTCATTGGTCTAGAACGGCCACGTGTCAGGTCAATAAAAAGGCATGTATAACAAAGTAAGTTACAACCACTTTCGTTTTTAGCCCTCTCAGGCGCATAGCACCCCTCGGGTGATAAAAACTTCATATCCCATATATCACAGCAGTCAACAATTGTTAAGTGTTGAACTTGCAATTTCAATTGTGACGAACTTTTGTTTAAAAAAACATGTGAATGAATTTTACCATTTCTCTATCGTCCGGATGAAGGTGTCTGTGCAGACATGCAAAAACCACCCCTTCGGGGAGGTTGCTATTTTCGAAGTCCTCTGTGAAGCATAAGTCTTGAACGTCCCTCTTGCAGTTCTTGTACAGAAGTGGATCCAGCCTGTGAGTGGACACAATGGACAATTGAGGGGTTAGGCTGGAGACCTGACCTTGTATCATACCGACTGCGCACCCTGATGGTGCCGAGCAGTACGCTCCCACCACCGTCTGCCGGGCCAGGTTTCGCCGTGCATTGTGGGAGACGGTCGACAAATTCGCCATCGCGGGACACTTAAAATTGTTAGTTTGTCGGTCAGTAGTTTCGTAAGCATATGATTCAAGTATTTTTTTTTCTCTTTTGGTTTCTTTTCATCAAGTTGGTGTATTTTGTGGGGTGGCAGACTGCTATGCTCCGCTCAAAATAGTTGTCTACTGACATTCATTTAAAGCGGCCATGTTTTTTGTCGGCTGTAAAGTTAAAAAAAATATAATCGTCATTGCAAACTTTGCGTGGCGCACTTGTATTGGGAGTCGCCCGTATTCAAGGTTGCTTCCTAATGAGTTTTAAAGATTAATACTGGAAAATACTGTTACAAAGATGCCTTACTTGAAATCTCTGGAGACAAAGTATTGCAGTAGGAGCAGCTCTGTCTCGCATTCCTTGGTCATCTCTGGGTCGTAGATGTGCTCCATCAGGCAGGACAGAACTCTACGGGTGGCAAAACACCGATGAAATTAACTTTAAACTGTTAAATTCTAACAACAACGTTTGTTTAGCTTGGGAGAAGTTTGCGGATACACAATGCAAAGCTGTTTCGTAAAGCCGAAAATCTAAAAGTCGGTCATGCATTGAGCATAAAAGTGCGTAATGCGTGAAACATAAAAATAAGTTATTACTACCGGTATGTACATGTATCTGTACTGCGCATTCATGACGCATGCAATACACATCAGGTTTTTTTGTGGGACACTTAAGGAAATGATGTATTGGTACGGTGAAAAGTGAACTATTATAAGTTGTCCTAAAAGGAAGCCCTTTGTATTAGAATCTTATTTAAAGGAAGTTGGGCCTGCCTTGATTCTAGTTTTTAAATTCTCCCTTAAAACACCGAATGAGTACTTTGGAATTTTAGTACCACTACGGAGTTACGATTCCAAAATAATACATTATTTCTATAAAAAACCCAAATGTTTCTAAATTCAAATGAAGATCCTACAAATAAATGATATTTTGCATTTTGATTTCAGCGTTTAAGTAAAAGATGTTTTTTTTTGCGTACTTTTGAATTTTAGTACCACTACAAAGTTATACAGAATAAAATAACTGTATTTCTATAAAAAACCCAAAATGTTTCCAAATTCAAATGAAGATCCTACAAATAAATGATATTTTGCATTTTTGATTTCAGTTTTTTTAGTAAAAGATGGGTTTTTTTTGGGGGGCGGGGGATATTTAGATTCAAATTTTTATTTCATTTTTTAATTTCAGTTTCAATTTCAGTTTCAATATCTGAGCCTGAAATTGTTCTACAAATTTCTGTTTACACAAGCCATGATAAAAACCTGCGTTTGTCCAAAATATAACTGGTTGCCATAACGACGGTTTATTACACACCAGATGAATGACTACAACAATCCCAAAGAGCATGTGACATCTCTTAACCAATCAAAACACAGCCTTATTAAAACTACTATGGTCAAAAACTCAAGAGTGAGCCACGTACAGTCGGAAATGAACAGCACAGTAAGAATATAGTGAGCATTAGAAAAATGCCTATTTAGTAAAGAAATTTATTTTTTAGGCCAAAAAAAAAAAGTCTCCGGTTTCTGGTATGCGCGCGCGTCGCCGTAGCCATGCGCGTCGGCAAAATGAATAAAAAAAAAAAAATTTCAATGAAAGATGGTGTCTCAAAACCGCCAAACTCACTGGTTTGACTGGAATCCTGCTGCTGCACAATTTTAACGTGTTTTTAGATTGGGTTATGGTCGAGAATAAACTTTATGTGGCCTCTCTGGACTCCCATATATTTGCACTAAGTTTAGTCGGGCACCATTTGCAGTCATCAGCCGACATTTGAAGCAAAAAAATCAGGTAAAAAAAAAAAAAAAAGCCGCGTCGCCGCACCACTTTTTGGGCAAGCTCCATACCAGAAACCGGAGACTTTTTTTTTTGGCCTTAGTGATGAAACTTGAAAATAGCATGGGGAACACAACTTTTTAAACGAGTATTAGTGTGACTCATCTGAGTTTTTCAACACTCACTTGGCATCGCCAGCTTCTACCTCCTTGCATATCTTGTCGCGGACCGGCTTGCAGGCTTTGTGCAGCGCCTTGTCAATGCGGTAGTTGGCTCCGGCATCTGCTGTCTTCACCAGCTGCATCAGCTGTGAAAAGACAACAAATAATTCAAATTACTGAGAGACACTATCTCCTTTCTTTAGGACTAGGGCTCTCGTTTGTTCTCATAGTAGATATGGTGAGACTACGGCATCATTACAACTGTACATTTCTTTCATTAAACCTTCCCATTCCTTCATTAAATTACCTAAAAAATGTGAGGGAAAAAAGTTAAGTTTAAAAAAAGAAAAATACAAAGGAGGGATAAGAATACATTCATGTATAAAACAAAATAAATTAAAACAACAAATATCAAACAAATCTATCAAATCAACACTGGGCAAAAATCCATTCAGTTTATTTTCATACTTAGTATTTATAGTAGATTTCTGATGTGAAACCCCCCCCCCCCCCCTTGTAAATACATGAACATGTACATGTATATATTTAACAGTTGTTGACTGATGTGATGTGGGATATGACGTTTTGAACACCCGAGGGACGCATAGCGCCCGAGGCGAAGCCGAGGGTGCTATGCGTCCCCGAGGGTGTTCAAAACGTCATATCCCACATCACATCAGTCAACAACTGTTTTGTCATGCCTCTGTCTTGACGATGTGTTTTACTTGTTTTTCTAAGGGAAATTAAGGGTGGCAAACTGAAGGAATCTTTGAAAAATTAAAAAATTAAAAAATTGAAAAAGTGTCTCGAAACGAGTGTCCCTGCCCGTTTCTTTGCAGAATTATCGTACAACGCGGACTGCGTAGTCGGTACAACATTTGGTGTTCGTTGAGTCTTGTTCAAAAGCTAAATCTTTTATTTGTTGTTTGGAGCGGCTCAATAACCTTTTTTGGGGCGGAGAATCTGTGCCTCCGGGCTCAGCTGACATGTTGAGGCTGATGAGGATCGTATACGAAAAAACTAACTGTGTCAGCTCTGCATTTCCGAAGTTCTGAAGGCCAAGGCACCGTTACTAGAGTCAGTCAAAACGTAAACATAATCTTAATGCCGCTCCTCGCTGGCCGCCAAATTAAAGTAAATATCGTCTGCAAATGCACTGCTCCCTCACTGCTATACATTATATTGTGGAACGTGAAAGTACTGCGGGGTACCAGTGAGTACAAGTATAGTCTGGTTTAAACGCGGTCCGCGCATGATGGTTTGGAATGTGGGGCGGGGACTAGTCTACATGCATGTGATATCACAATGTGATATACAACGGGAGTGTGCCATGCATATTTATCGCCCGGTCAGGTGATCGTCCTGGGCCAATGAAAATACAGTATAAAGACAGAGGTATGACAAACACTATTGCCAGACTCAGGGATTATATATCATTAAATAAGGAAATAAATGTGTGTTTGGGAGGTATTATAACACTCTGTTTAAGACCAGTTTGAGTCTGGATGGGTGTTCGCCTCGGGTAATTATCATAAATTCATTAATACCTTTTCGGTCCAAAAACCAAAACAAGTAAAAAACTAGACGTTGCCAACCATTTTGTTCAACAATTTTACTGCACGTTTTATGAAACACCCCTCTGACTTTAATATGGAATGTCCCTCTACAACTCCTTACCTTATAAGGAGATTGGCGCGCGCGTCGCGCGTACTGCGCGATGTCGCGCAGAATGCACCTGAGGCATTGCGTTGTGAATTTAGGACTATAAAATACTATAAAATTGCGCATGCCTACGTGAGAAATTGTGAACGTTCAACCAATAAAACGGTAAGAGGCACTGGATTTTTTAGAAGTCCAAATTTCATGTGACACTGGAAAAGTGTTTGAGACCAGCTAGCCATGTCTTTATCATCGTGTAAGACCGGCCACGTGACAGGCTCTCGACCAATAGGAATTGTTAAACTGTCTTAGGTATTTATGAATACTCATTTAAAGCATCCCATAAACATCGGAAAACAGACAATGTTTGTGAAGGATTATTTCAGTAATCCAATTATTTACATAAAACCTCCATATATGAGACAAAGAAATGTTGTTTGGTTTTAAGGGTGTAAACGACATTTCTAGACAAAAAAAATCCGCCAAATTGGAAAAGAAAATTGATCTTATTCCAAGAAACACGGACACGTGTACAAGCTTCTCATGAATTATTCATAACCAATTGACAGCGTTACATGTACACTGTCGAGTTTCACCTGTTTGCATAACAACAGCAAGGCCACTGTGATCATTTGTTCTGGGCAGTGATGCATATCACAATCAAGCACGAAGAGAACACATCCAGTGTCGAGTGAGTGTCATAAATGAACATGATGAAACTTCAATCTGAGCATGCTGTCGCTGTACTATACTCTCACAGATGTCCTCTTCAAGGGTATAATGCATTTTGCTTGCTATTGAACCAGAAACAAGCAGGAGTGCACAATAGGCTCTGGCACGCACTGAAAATTGACCAAAATAAGCCCCTTAAGATTCCCATAAAAATAGCTCGCTACATTACTGCACATTATGTTGCCTCCATTTACACAATTTTCATAAACAAGTTTACGTATTGTTACAAACAATTTTTGTCAAATATTTCATTTCTTTTGTTTGCTTTTTTTTCTATAAATTAACTTTGGTAGTTATATTTTATTGGAAATCTAGGGGGCTCATATTTGGTCAATTTTTCCGGGGACAGACACACATGTACCGGTACATATCGTCGGTCGCACCACAAACCGGCGTATCTCGATTTTTTGCAAAATTTAGTTTTTGTCATTAACGTTATTATTTCATCAAAGTGCTCATTCTCAGAAAATTTTTATTCCGATCGGAGTTCTAATTAACTAAGAACGCTAATTAGACTGTGTGGCGTATCTCTAAAAAATGAAAAATGCTGCACCACGAAGTGGCGTATCCCGATACGCCACTTTACATGCTAATTCCCATAGTGCTATGACGTCACAAAGGATCGTCGGCATGAAAAATTGGAATTTAGCGTTTCACGAACCGACGCACCGGTATCTCCGTATCTGGCACACGGCCACTATTACGCGCGTTGTATGACATGCAATAAACATGATAAAAATCTGTTTCACGAAGTGACGAATAACTTTGGAACTAAATTTCTCAAAAACTAAGCAACTCAGATGCACACGGATTGCATACAATAAACTTCAATCTATAATTTAATAGCAAAAAACGAAACAGCTTGAATTCTTACACAGGGAGTATATGGAATGAGCCTACAAAATAATGACCAACTTTTAATCGGTTTTTCTCGAAACACAAAAAAATGCAATACGTTCGTGGTGCAACCGACGATATGTATGCGAAATAGACGCACATGCCAATCGATCGAGACAAAGCCTGTTATCCGATAACTTTCATCAAGACGACGGCATGGCATTTGGTCAATTTTTGGTCAAATATTTTTGGTCAATTTTCGGGGACAGACACACAGACAGACAAACCGACCGACTGACTGACCAATAAGTGAATGTAGAAGCTCTTTGCCAGAGCTTAAATATGCACCATGATGGGTTATCGCTTCCAATACAGAGCACTGTGCTAGCTACATGTATTGTCAGATAATCCGTCACGGGGCAGTTGGTTTGTACAATAGCGTGCACAATGGTTTCTCCATTGAATGAGGCCTGATCACTTATCCTGATTCGTCTATATTTTTGAGACGGAAATTCTACGGCTTTATTCGCCTAAAAATGCTGTGCACATGAATCAATTTTGTATGTTTTTCTGCGTGAATGTTCGTTTATTTTTCATTCCATATGAGTAAAATTCAAAGAGATATAGCCATGCCAAATACATATATTCCACTGTTGTATTGATGCTAACTTTAGCCGTTCACCAGCTGCACTCAAATACTGGACGAAAATATGCAAAGGCATTTGACCGTGAATTTTTTTTTGAAACTAATACCAGTATTTCAAGGCATCAATTTGTACACCACAGATACAGGCAAGGCAAACATGTACAATATCTGCTTAATTTCTGCGCGCCAGTGCGGACAAACCACACAATTAGCATTATTACGTGGACAGCTGCAAAGCCAAAGCACCACGGCAACCACCTGTGAGACCAGCCGGGTCGCCATGGCAACTGTGCCATTGGCACGGCAACTTGGAAATGTTAGTTCTCTGCTTGAGTATTTTTTCTTTCTTTTTCCGGTTAAAATAGGCATATCTATCACTAAAAATAGAACATAAATAATTACTGCTTATCAAATATGTCCTAAATCGTGTTTCAAACATCAGAGCATTGCAAAATTGTCTGTCAATTTTGCCACACCAATTAAATGAAAAAAAAACCCTCTGAGACAGTACAGGATGCTGACAAATTTAAATTTTATGTTTTTGTATTTGTTGTAGCACATACACACAATGGGTAGGTTTTTTTGGTTGGGGGGTTGTTTGTTTGTTTTTTTGTTAGGACACTTCCTGGAAAAAAAAACAAAACAAAAAAAACCCTCCCCCCATCCCCCCCCAATCCAACCACTAGAGTATCTTGGCTTTAAAGCCTTCTCATTGCAACTACACATGTTAGTTGTCACAGTAAGAATCATGCTCCGGGTGAACACGATCCATCAGGCCAAATATCTGAAAGCCGTTCGGCCATGTTATAGTCTGAGCCTGCTATTGAAAAAATCTGACACCCAAAATCTTCTAAGGTAACATCACGGTCAACCAATAGGGTTTTCCAATGACACGCGCGCCTCAAATTTAGAATGCGTACTACATGCGCGCGAGTGTTGCACCACCACTGCCAGGTTGGCCATTAAGCAAGATTTTACCCATTTCAGACTAACATTCTAGATTTGTGCCGAACCAAATGATTCCAAAGATTTGAATTATAAGCACATGAACAAATTTGACATGTTTGAAACATTAGAGCGACTGTGTCTGTGCAGTGATTCCATATTTCAGAGTCTATTCAATGGGAAATTAATATGTTAAGTTTGCCTGTCTTTGGAGCAAAATGTACTTGGGTCAACCTCAGGCACGCCCACAATTTTGGTTCAATGGCGCTACTCTGGGTCGCCATCTCAAACGGGTGTTGCACTACCCCTTAAATATGGACAGGGGACAAAAGTTAAGCAAACTGTCACTTTCAATGCCTTTCCTTGACAGACGGTGCTGGGTGAAGCTCACCAAAGCACCAAGCTGATAAACGAACTAGAAAACTGAATGACTGACTGAACTATTTCTGCTTACCGCAGTTTCACAATTGTCACTCAGCTTCTTGGGGTCCTTTGGGTTGCCCTGGGTGAGTTTCATCAGACAGTGGAGCGTCTTGCCTCCGCGCTGGAGCCCCGAGCATTGGTTAGCCATCTCCTTCTTGCACTGGGTGATGACCTCCGGGTTGACCATGAAGTCTTCCATCAGGCTCTTACGGGTCTCCTCCAGTTCTGCAACGCAGTCCCCGCTCAGCTTTACATCTGTCCAAAAACAAAAGGGGGCGAAAATTCACATAATTAATTTAAATGTATGTGTACATGTCTACACCGTCTGCCAGGTACTTCGGGACAATGAGTACATGTACATTGTAAGTTAAAAAAGTGAAGTTTATCATGAGCCAATACGGCCTGTCTGACTGGTATTATCTTAGGTTTCCTTGGCATGAAACGACTGAGAATATTTCTATTCCTCCTGGATAGGATGCTAGTCTGTCGCAGGTTACTCCCCAGCTAATGCCAGTACCCATTTACAATGTATACTTCTGGGTGGAGAGATGCAAGGGGTGAAGTGGCTTGCCCAAGGACACGACATTTGACCAGCAGCTGGATTCGAACCCCTGACCCTCTGATCATGAGTCCTGACCCCTAACCATTAGACGCCACTCCCCTATTGCCAGGGCTCAAATTTTAGGGGGGGAAAAAACAACCTCACTACAAGGCAGGAGGATAAAACATAACAAACAAGAGTTAAATGCAACATGTTTAAACTATATTCTCTTTTAAAAGTTAATTGTATGGTTGAGAAAAACGGTGGGATTTTCACCGTTTTGGACAGTAAGCTCTGCCTATCATAATCTTCTGAGCAAATAAATTGTTAGTGTCGTTTGTCTGTGTGATGTGCATGAGGGTGTTTACGACCTATTTCCTTGAAAGCAGGAAAACAGTTGGCAATTTTTTTTTTTTTTGTAATTAGACATTTTCCCAAATTCTCCAGTAACATAATACACAAGCCATGTTATATGTAATGTGCTCAAACTAAATGAATCTCGGCATTACTGCTGTGAAACTGCATGCTGATACCATCTTTAGTTCAAAAATTATGGAAGCTGGAACACCAAGAGATGTGATGAAGTGATGTGATGAAGTGGCCCTATTTTGGCTTGAATCTCCAAATGAAAGTTCCCGACAAACGACTCATTCAGCTTGATCACATCACATAATGATATTTGCCTTAATCCTTTGGGGAATATAAATAAATTAATAACATAAATAAGATACATATAAACGCCCGAACCTTGACAGGCCACGTAACACCCCCCCCCCCCCTGAAAAAAATTGTATTGAACAGAGAACTCAACACACATAGCAAACAATGTTTGAATCCTGGATCATAAATTCATAATCATCACCCCAAGAAAAAAAATCGAAATCGAAACGATTGGAATATAGATTTTTGTGGAAATGAAAGTCAAGTTTGTGATTCACACACTCCAATGGAAATATAAACATTGATGATTATGACCAAAACAGCTGTTTAAGCAAAATAAACAGCTGTTTAGGCAAAATAAACAGGCTGGTTACATAGAATGAATATTAAAAGACCTTATATTATAGGCCATCAGCCTCGGTCCAAAATTTTGGCCACCGGTATCAAATGAGGGGAATAATCGTCATAGCGATTTTCGGCAAGGCATACACCTTCAGAATTGGAAAATATGTGATAGCATTGCAGTGGTGGCAGCTTTTTGGGTGTTATCACCCTTTTTTTCTCCAAATGGCCATCAAATGCTTGTTACCACTCTAGGGGTGGTATACCTTGCGCATGCGCACTATAATCATTTATGTCCTGATTTGATACTGACAAAACCCCCAGGCTGATGGCCTATTATGTGGAAATACGTCATGTGCTTTAAAACAAATAACAATGAAGCATTTGTAATGCGTTTCAGGTATAACATTATCAAGTGTCTTGGACAGGATAAACCGTAATCTCAATAGCCACACCCAAACTGAAGTTACCTGAAAAAGTCATCAACCCCGCCAGGCAGACCCTGACGGAATTAATTTATTGGTTTTCTAGTACAGTATAAAACTTTGGACTTGACTTTGTCAAGTGTAAGAATGTAAAACGTAAACTGGCCTGCAGTTTTTAAGCTCTGGCAGGAGCTTCTAAATGTCACTTGGTGGTCGAACTTTTTGTCCCCGGAAAATTGACCACTAAAAATTGACCAAGTTTCAAGTGAAATATAACTATACCAAATTTGTATTTTCAAAAAAAAATAGCTAACAAAATGAATTAAATACTTAACAAAAATTGTTTGTAACAATGCAGAAAGATGTTTATAAAAAGTTTGTAAATGGAAGCAAAATATGTGCAGTAATGTTATAGTCGTGTGGTATTTATCACACATCGCTATCAATCAAATCTGAAGCATGGTGTTCCATATGTGCCATCAACGTTGCATTTTTGGGCGTTGCATATTTAAGCTCTGGAAGAGATCATTTTGATAGATTTTATGTAAGACTTACACTGCGTTTCCACTTGAATAGGGAAAAGGTTGATCAAGATCCAGCATTTTGGTGTGATCGTTATCTTACCGCAATGGAACCGCAAGTCGCGTTCCCACTTATGCTTGATCCACCTTTTCGAACGGAAATGTCGAGTCCGAAAGGTCACCGAGTTCGGAATTACGCGCGCTCTGTGGGACTGCCAGTGTTGCATGCTAGATTTTTGTTGGCAACGGTTCATTGTTTTTATCCTTTCAGCAGGTTAAAGCCCTTGACAGTAATAAAATACCTACTGCAAAACACTCCACATCGATCGCCGCAATAAAATAGCCTTGAACTCGTACTCGTGGCAAGGTACTCATACTTACTTGTATTCGTACTCACGGCAAACAACTCATACTCATAGAAATGTACTCCACTACAACACAGGTCTGAGTACAATCTAAATGTTGACACAATTTTTCTGTCGTCATATTTTAGTCATCAAATTGGTCCCTAATCTCTGGTCCACTCACCGTTGTGCTTGGCTTCTTCCAAACAGATCAAGAGTTTGGACAGTCGGAACTCTCGGCCCTGGGAGTCCCTGAGCTTGGCGCACTTTGTCTTCTTCATGTCTTCCTTGCATTTACGGATGAGCCGATAGTTGGCCTTGTAGTCCACGCTGGCCACTTTCTGTCTGGTGGTCAACTTGTTGCGACACTGTGAAAATTGAAAACAGGAAACAAAAGTGTTATAGAATGAACGTGAAGTTCTGTACTAGTTTTTAATGTTCAGAAATCCATTTAAAGAGTTAGTATCCCTTGTTGTTAGTGCAACTCTAAAAGAGCCAGGGGGTTTGGTCATGTAACAGCCAAGGAGTTGGGAGGGGGGATGGGGACGAGAGGCGTGGAGGTGCGGAGGGGGGGCTGTAAGGTGATCTTGGAAAATGTAAGGACCAATTTTTAAAAAACTTATAGGCCAAAAAAAAAAGTCTCCGGTGTCTGGTATGGAGCTTGCCCAAAAAGTGGTGTGGCGACGCGGCTTTTTTTTTTTTCCCCACCTGATTTTTTTGCTTCAAATGTCGGCTGATGACTGCAAATGGTGCCCGACTAAACTTAGTGCAAATATATGGGAGTCCAGAGAGGCCACATAAACCTTATTCTCGACCATAACCCAATCTAAAAACACGTTAAAATTGTGCAGCAGCAGGATTCCAGTCAAACCAGTGAGTTTGGTGGTTTTGAGACATCATCTTTCATTGAAAAAAAAACGTTTTCATTTTGCCGACGCGCATGGCTACCGCGACGCGCGCGCATACCAGAAACCGGAGACTTTTTTTTTTTGGCCATAGGCTAGCAGAAACATTATTACTATTTTGTCCATGAATGACGGTTCTTCACAGTAGACAATTTTTTTTTGGAAACAGTCAAATTTTTCAAACTTTCTGTCAATTTGTTATGACATTGGTGTCCAAACGTCTGCAAGACATTAATCTGAAACTTGTGAAGGCGTGGAAAAAATTTGTGACATCAGAGAGAAAAAAATATTTGAGGCCCCTTTCCCCACCCTTTTTTCAGGGTTAAGTGTGAAGAGAATGACAAAAAAATATAGCATGACAGTCACAATTTAAGCAATTCTGCAAAAGGTCTGCAGGACAGCATTTAAACGTTGACATGGTTGCAGGGCAGTCCATCCTCAGACCCCTCCACCCTCCCAACACCCTCAGAAGCTGTCTTACATTTTCACTCATGTCCTCCTTGAACTTGTGCTTGAGCAGGCAGTTGTAGATGGCCCCTTGGCCTGCCGTCTCCGCCTCACAGAATCGCTCCCGGTCATCGCGGCAGGCAAAGAACAGAGCCCGGTCCGTATGGTAGTCCTCGGCTGTCAGCTCCGCGACGCGCAAGATCTGCTTCTTACAGGTCTCCCCCAGCTCCTCAATTTTCTTCTCCAGGCAGTTGATGGTGGCACCTTGCTTGTGTGGCAAGGCAGTCTGAATCATGGGACGAAAAAATATTGAACATAAAACGAAAATAACAAATGATATCAACATTTGAAACAGACCCAACCATAATTACCCCTAATCTCACCTAAAGTAAACTGTAGTATGTAGTACTTAGCCCAAAAAAGGGCCAGGGGTGTAATCCGCCCCCCCCCCTGAACTTTTTACTCTTTTTCCTTGATAACCTTAAAAAAAAGTTTTTTTTGCGACCCGAGCTGTTCTGACTTTTTAGCCTCGAGTCTTGCTCATCTTTTGATACCAAAAACATAAAATTCGTATTGGAAGGTGACATACTTCACTAGGATTTGCTTCGGGGACTAGTTTGTCAAGTTCAAATAGCTTAGGGATCTAACATTGACTATCCACCCTCAATCCATGTTAAATTTGTATACTGTACTATGTTCTCCGTTATCGCTCATCTCAGTTTAGGACTCAAATGAATGGGTTTTATGTGGGTAACAAGTTACAAGATGTTTTTACGGGCCAACAGCTTAAAAGAAGCTGTCTGATTTTACTGATTTGGTTAATATTCACCTCCTCTCCTTTCTTGTACACAATTCCGCACCCCAGTTTGTCTACATCACTTTGGCATTGAGTGTAGAAATCTTTGATGAGCCGATAGTCGCTGAACGTGATGGCCTTCATGCGGTTGATGTACTGGCGGCACTGCACGGTGGTGATGTTCTCTGCGACCTCGTACAGGCACGGCAGGAGGAGACCCTGTCCCTTCTCTATGGCGGCACATTCAGGAAGCTGTGGACGGAATTTGAGCATGATATAATTCAGAAGGGACTTTCAGAAGAACTCATGTTTCTGAAAGCTTGCTTCATACAAACACCGGTAAGCAATGGTGGATGGGGTAGAAGGGCTGCTGATCAATGTGACCTCGACCTAGTGGTTCTTGATTGAACACGATTTGTTATGAGTCTCTTGTGGCCCGGTCGCCCGATAATGGCCCTCGCCTTTGGTTCAGGCCATTTATCGTTTTAAACCAGATGTTTACAGCTGCTCCACAGAACTATTATTCCATTAACGTCCTATGCAAAGGTACATTCTGTGCCAAGTTGTCCTTTCAGTCAAAATCAAGCAGGTGACTGTTTTCGACAGTTAAGAGCTCCCAGCCTACACAAAGCAGGACTGACTGGCTGTGACTGTTTATGTAACTTGATACACAGGTGCTTTGACTGTAGGTGATTGATGACAACTGTGCCACCAGTTTCCTGCTTTTGTCTCTTGACTGAAATTGACTAGTTAGTCAGAGTGCTTGCTTGAAATACGATCCGACTGTTTGTGACTAGCCTGTGTAAAAGGCATGGCAGGACTGTCTGTTTAAACAGTAGGAGGGTTCTAAAGATAACACTTTATCAAAGGCCAATAATCACAGTAAGTCGAGCAGCAGATCAAGATTATTACAGTTTACCTTTTTGAGGTCCGGCTTGCAGACTTCAAAAGCGGCCGAGTCAAAGCGAACGTCCCTAGTCAGGTTGTACTTGTAGCTCCACAGAAACTGTTAGAAAAAATCAAATACACTGATTGGAGTACGATTGTGGATGGAGTCCAGAGTAGTACATGGGCTCTCTACGAAAGCCACCTAGGATCATTTGTAATTACCCCGGAAAAGGACCTGCCAACTTTAAATGAGAAACCTTAAAGTGAAGATACAGGACTGGTATCAAATACCTTGTGAAACAATTCCGCCTGAAATTGAGTTACAACAGAATCTTATGAATCCAGTTACAAGACCCCACAAATTCTGCATGTTTTCTTTGTTTTCTCCGAATGTATCTAGCATCCACTTGGCTAAAACTTGGACAGTTTAGTTGTTATGCCCTTACTTCATATACTTGGGTCTTGAGCACTCCCGTAGCTTCAACCCGACCAACGATGCAAAATGTGAGCAATTACTGATGTCAAACATGAAAACTATTTAAGATGTAGGCATGGCTCGAATTTTCGTCGGAGAGGCTAACTGGGTTTTTTTTACCTATGATATGATTTTTGTTTTCATTTAAAGCGAACATTTTGTTAGATATTGTAAAATTTGTCCAGATTTCTTCTTAAAGGGAATGTACAACATTTGCTTTTGCTGCAATTTTCAGAAATAAATGGTTTTGGAGGATTAGTATGTAATAGCAAATATTATTAAAATGACTTGTTTCACGTTTTGGGCTTGTAGATGCTGGAAAAACCAAAAAAAAACAATCTTGTTCTTGTAGTCTGGTTCCCTGACCCCACTTAAGATGAAACGGATCAATTTATAGACTTTGGGGAATTGTTGGTCAGAGAATCAGTGTAGCAGGCTTGTACCCCTTCACAGGTGTGTATTCAATTGCAAAGAAAACGCGGAAAAACTAATTATGAAAAATTAGGAGCAGATTTTGAAAAAAGCCAGTTTTCTTCAACGCTGGTCGGCCAACCAGCGTTGGAAAAGTACCAATTTTCTTGAAAATGACAGCACACCAGGAGCAACAATTTTACAGGATGCTTGAGACTGTCATTCCCTAACAATCCAGTAAGGTATTTCGTGATAAATTTGATCATTTCGTTTTGTGATCTTTGCAAATGTTGTATCTTCCCTTTAACGTAACTCACATTCTGTCTTGCATATTCCACACATTTTCAAAGAATTGCAAGTCTGAATTCAGATTCTATGTCAATTGAACTTGTAAATTTTCAATTTCTTTCCATAACAAACTTGCGAACAAAGTTGACAAAATGCACTTACCTGATTACACACATCACTGAGTTCTCCTCCGTCCTGGTTACGAGAAAAAGAGAAAAAGAAAAAATGTTTATCATCTCAAACAAATACACATTATATACAATTGTGTCATGAGTACTTTTGAACAATCTTTTGATGAACATTCGCTTCAGAAATACTTTCTGACTGTTAAAAGTAAATTGTAAATTGCAGAGTCTATAAAAGCATTTACGTCATTTTTAAGTCTTACTTAAGTGCGTTTAGGCAGGCACTGCTATGCATATTTATGAAGGCGCTGATTTGCATAATTCATCAAAATGTTAAACAACCTACCAGACTTTGCGCTCAAAAATAAGAAAATAAGTTTCCAATAAACCTGTTGTTGGGTATATGTGGTGGAGATAATGGTTTATCAGGATTTATCAACTTTAAAGAAATTCTAAAATGTTTAAGTGGGATTTCCAAGATTTATTCAAGTGCGCCATGTTAGGGAACACTCGGCTGAATTTTTGTCCCAATTTCCGGACGCCACCGTTTTCCAATTTCGGACTAAATTTCATGACACTGAAGTTGTTCACAAAGGGACAAAAGCAAGCATTAGGGGCCTATAAGGGTAAAAGTACCAGTATTTCAATAACTGAATTTATAGTTTTTCAACAAAGACGTTTGGCAACACTGCGTGAGGAAAGTCGAGGGAAACGTCGAAGTGCGCACCGTTAGTGCACTCCACTATATAAGCATTGAGTTATAAATTTCTGCTATAAAATGATGTGAATTGCTTAGAAATGTTTGCCATGCACAACCACAAAAATAAAATACTCAATGAACCTGTGTAGGCCATTCTCTGTTTCTTTCCGGTTTGCTGTGCAAATACCAGACAATACATTGAAGCAAGTGAACCGTGTACAATTGTACAACAGCACAACTAAGGTATGCACAGGTAGTACGTGTACATGTGTACGTACAATGTACATGTACATACGGTATGTCTGCATACATACTGAACATGTACATGTACATGTACTACTGTGTACATGTACATGTACATGTACTACTGTACATGCGCAGAACTTAAAGGTACAGTCCATCATTTGTAATTTGTGCATTTTGTTCGTTTGAAGCAACAAAAGTGCTCAAGATCTAAAGAAGGGTGCTGAACAACTAACCTGATGAAGTTTCAGCTCAGCTTTAGCTGTATATTTCGAGAAAAACAACATTCTAGGATCTCGATTCAAATCAAAAGTTGCTGAATCATGTTTTGAATTGGGCGTGAATTCAGCGACCAAGACACGTTCTCACTGAGCCGATCGCGCACTAATCCGACAAATTATAGCAACCGCGCGCACGTGTGTGTCGTGCCAATGCTTGCACACGCTTCGCCGAATAACAAAACGAACTACTAATTTGAATTTCCTACGGTGCTCCTTAAGAAGCACTGTTGGAAAGGCCTTCTTTTGTTGATTTCTTCAAAATGACAGCTTGCCAGAAAGAACAATTTCACAGGGAGTTTTGTCCCCTTACTATCTTTCAACCAAGTATGTTTTTCAACAATAATTACGCCAGTTACTTTTTGGATAGCTGCAAATGTTGGACTCTGGCTTTAAATGACAAAACTTCACAAAACATGTTGGTCTGTGTGATGTAAACCATGACTGCATGTTCATGTGTAAACTGGGCAAGCAAGTTTTAAAAGCAGACTTTAACAGCGTTTACTCTTGTGAAATGGAATTCCACTTTTTGAAGCAAGCCTGTTTGTGTTTGTACATGTACATGTACTTGGCTTTTACCAGTACTGTAAATGGGAAGCACACAAAATGAATTCTTGGCATCTTTAGATTCTGTGCACTGCTTTTAATAACAGTATCGTCCAACCAAACATTGGGGGAACACTGTAACACAGAAGTTTGGCAGCAATTTTTAGCCGACTTTCAATACATAGCAGTTAGATTTGAGGGCAGGGTAACAGATGACCCCCCCCCCCCAAAAAAAAATTACAGATAAAATGGAATTTAGGAGGAATACTGAATACCCTACATGTATTGTTGTTGTTTTTTCTAGGAATTTAAATGGGGATCGTATCTTATTGCATTTTTTGTGGAAATTTTGTATTAATTAATTTTTTTGTTTCTTATGGTTTCACATTATATTGTCATCTGAATTCGGCATGTGCTGCCAAGATGATTTTGAATAAACCAGTCTATATCTAGTATACCCGGTATTTTAAGTTTAAAAACAAACAAACAATTGCCTGGTTTAAGGGCACCCCCGAGCCTCCGTAGTTTGTCATGTGTGTTGGATTTTTGCTGTAGTGCACAGTTGGCCATAGGGGCCCACCACACCGATTTTCAAACCAAAAACTTTCTTTTGTTTTGGAAAGGGATGTCTTAGATCTTGATTGGGATGTACATGTACACGAAGTCAGGAAAAATACAAAATGTAGGAGTCAGCACAACAAACCTTATCAACTTGCATTGATTGTGTACTACTGTGCTCATATCATATGAGGTATTAATAAAAAAAGAAAAAGAAGGGTCTCAAAATTCAGATATTTCAAATCAAGTCCTCCCAGTATTATGTCAATATGTAAATGGGTCATTCAATAAATTTGGGGGCCGCTTTTTTTCCCCTATCCCCGTTATATCTGACGTCTATGATTGTATTATTCCGGATGCCCTGCTTAACTAATGTAGTGATTATGAAAACTAAAAAAAAAAAAATTCTTAATGATACTGGAATGGCTAAATAAAAAATTCAGAGGTAACTAAGACAGGAAAAAATGTCACACTTTGGACCCTTAATTTACAAAATGCCCAAGAGAGAATGTAATCCTTTGTACAGCTCCACGGTAACAGTGTTCATTGCTGTTTGAATGGTGTGCACGTGCTTACATTACTTCCTTCATTGGAAAAGTGTGCACGAATGCAATTTAGTTATTACGTGTATTTCACAACACTGAAATCCTTTCATTTCGAGATTCATGAACTACATGTACACGCATGTATGTCATCAATCATTATCCCCAGATGTTCTTTCCTTTTCAAAATGCCTTTTGTGCATTCAGTGGGACACAAAGAAAATGAAACAGTCTCACTAATGCATTCCCAGCAATTTCATTGCGCCCCTAATTAGTATTTCTCGTCAGAGAATGTATTCACGACTTTTCTTTGTTAGTGTCAGATTAGTTTTTTAAATTTTGTATGAGAGTCACCCGTATGACAAGGCCCTATTATAAGGGCTACTTCAGGTGAGGGCTACACATGGAAGGGATAGAAAGGATCTAAGAAAAAGAAACATTACTTCAAGTAGAAAGAAAAGTATTGATGTTACACGTGAGCTTGTTTGAACTTGAGTTTTGGGTTCGTAGATATGCTGGAAAACCAAGAAAAACAATCATCTTTTTGCAGTCTGGCTCCCTGACCCCACTTGAAACGAAGCAAATTATAGACATTGTGGAAATGGAAGGTCAGGGAACCAGCCTAGCTGGCTTGTACCCGTTCATAGGTGTGTAATCGATTGAAATAAAATGCGGACTAACTAAATACATGTATTGTAAATTGGGGGCAGTAGGCCTATTTAAGAAAAGCCATTTTTTTCACCCAACAATGGTCGGCCCGACCAGCATTGGTAATTGACTCCAAAAATAGCACTTTTCTTGAAAAGGACAGCACACCAGGTGCTTCATGTATGATTTTACAGGGTGCTTTAGACTGTCATTCACTATCAGTCCAGTTAGGTATTTCATAATAATTTGGTAGTTTTTTTTATGTTTGCAAATGTTGTATATTCCCTTTCATGCATTCCCTGCAATTTCATTGTGCTAGTAATTGGTATTCTCGCAAGAGAAATTTATTCACAGGTTCTCCTTGTTAGCGCCAGACTTAAAAAAAAAAAAACCAATTATGAGAGTCGTCCATAAATTTAGTATAAATAAATTTTATTAGCATTTCAGGGGAAATTTAATTTCCATCTGATATAAAATTTAAGAAGGGCATATTTTGACAATTTTTTCTATAACTTGACAAAACCAAGTATTGGTCACTCACAAGGAAATTGTTCTCCAGAGATCACAACAGGAGATTTAAATTTATATCCGACATTTTTGCACCATGAGCCAAAATTATGTCAACTTAAAGGGAAGATACAACATTTGCAAACATCAAAAAACGAAACGATCAAATTATCACGAAATACCTTACTGGATTGTTAGGGAATGACAGTCTAAAGCATCCTGTAAAACCGTGGCTCCTAATGTGCTGACAGTTTCAAGAAAAAGCGTATTTTTCCAACGCTGGTCGGTCGACCAGCGTTGGAGAAAAATGGTGGGTTTTTCATGTGCTCCTGAATTTTCATATTTTGTTACTCCGCATTTTCTTTGCAATTGATTACACACCTGTGAAGGAGTACAAGCCTGCTAGACTGATTGTCTAACCTTACAATCCCCAAAGTCTATAAATTCCTCCGTTTCATCTTAAATGGGGTCGGGGAACCAGACTACAAGAACATGATTGGTTTTCTTGTTTTTTTTTCCCCAGCATCTTCAAGCCCAAAACATGAAACAAGTCAGTTTAACAATATTTGCTATTTTATAGCTCCATGCTATAACATACTAATCCTCCAAATCCATTCCTTTTTGAAAATTGCAGCAAAAGCAAATGTTGTACATTCCCTTTAAATACATGTTCAGGCTGAGAATTGTAAAAACCAGTGGGAACATTTTGATGTACCGACCGGTACATGCATTTCTAGAGGCATTTTCTCAATTTAATTTGACTTCCCAGGTAAACAAACATGCAAAGAAAATCAAATCCACATTTAAATTTAACAAATTACACTAATTACAAAAAAAAGGCTTCTCGCTCAGGCTTTTTGAAAAAAAGAAGGAGGCGGTCCTTTTCCCCCCCCTGAAGATGGCGTACATTCCCCTGAAAATATCTTGCAATTTATGATTTAAAAGAAAAAAGGGGGGTGGGGCAGGTCGGGGATGGAAAACTGCTCTTTTATTTGGCTTGGCTTGAATACGTCTCTTTCCATTTTTCCTGAACAAGCCCATATTTCAT